GTTGAACGACTGGCTCAACAGCCGGCGCCACCTCTTCGGCAGCCACACGATTGACCCCCTCCGACCGCGGACTCCCTGCAAGGTCCACCACCCCAGCTTCTACAACCTGGGAAGCAACCTCCCCTGTCTCATGAGGGGCAGAGGTCCCCCCGATCTCTCCCCCACCCCTCTTTTGCTTTCGGTTGACTTTCAAAGGGGAAACCTCCTCCTCTAGAGGCTCGGAAATCCCGAGCTCAGTCACGTCGAAGCTGGGCTTCAGCTTGAGCCACAAGTCTTTTCCTATAAGGCCTACAGACAGAAAATAAGGCACGTTAGCAAAGAAAGCATAATGAAAGGCAACGAAAAGCTGAAGAAACAATACTCACCACCTCGGCAACTCGAGCAACTTGCTCAGCCGCCCGTACTCCTACCTCAGTGACGGCCACCCCGGCCTACAAGAAAACCCATATCACCACAATAAACCAAGCAAAGTCTAACATAGAAGAAAAGTATAAGGAAGTACGACACTCACATCGGCGACCTGCGTGGTAGGCTCAGCAGCTTGGGCCGCCGTTAGATATAACAGATAATAGATTGTTGTAGTCATGAAATTATGGCATTCATATTCTGTTTCTAAGTTCATACAAAGAGAAGGAATCGTTTGGATCAAAAGAAAATGAATGATTTGGTTTATGTGATGTACAATGCAAAACCGAAATCTAAATTGATAAAAAAAAATGTTGGTTTTCCTTTTGAAGATATTCATTCTGATGACGAATGGATAACTGAGGAGGTACAAGAGATTGTTGAAGAGGTCCAAGAGAATGTTGTTGACGATGCAAATGTTGAAATTGGGATTTCAAGCAATTTGGAAAATATTGAGAATCTGAACCTTGAAGCTTATGTTCAAGACTTTGAAGGGTCAAAAGAAGAATTTGATGATAGAGATGATGAAGAGGAGGAGCAAAATGGTGATGATGAAGATCTTGAAGGATTGAAATGTTGAAGTCTTGAAGATTTCTAGGCTTCTAGCTTATGCAGTTTTATTATCTTGATTTAACTTTTGAACTTTTACTTTGATCATTTATAATACATGATCTATGTATATAGATAATTTTAATTTGTACTTGTTTACATTTGATACTTTGGTACTTACTGTCTTATTATGGAGTTATGGTTTATTTTCACTATTTTGTTAATTTGATCTTCTCTAGATGATTTTTACTTATGTTCAATATGATATTGCTATTTATATTACATGGTATGCATGAAATTAGAATTTTAGTATTATTTTAATATGAGGTAAACTCTTACGAGTTTACGAGTTGAGTTTATAGGTCCTCCCGAGTTTACCTAAATTCTCAAGTTTAACAACCTTGACTGCCACCTTCCAGTTTTTGTGATCTTCGGGCAAGGCTTAGAGTGGTAGATTTGCATGCGTCTCACCCTCCCGAGCTTGCATGGGATTATTAGAGTAGTATTACTCTATATAAGTTTTTTACTCGATCTCCTTATTTTAAATATTGTGCAACAGTAGTTAATAGGTCTAGTTGTTGCATTCTAACTAATTAGTAATTAGCTAGAGGTTGGTAGACAGCATTATTGATTTCTGCTGCCACTTTATCTAGCGACAAATTAGTTAGAGTATATAACATCCATATAAATGGACCTTTGTAATTTGTTTTAGTTGGGGAATGAAATTCATTTTTACTTTTCACAAATCTCAGTTAATTAGTGTAACATCCTATTTTCTAAAATAATAATATTATTAAATATTACTATATTATGGTCAGAATTATTATTTATTTCTATACGTGGGAAATTATTTTATTATATTAATTTATTTGATTTAATGGGAGAAGCGAAATAGGTTAGGTTGATCCGGTTCAGTGAGCTTTTAAAAGAAGGGTTAGGCAGAATTAACCCTAATCTACTTCATTTTGCGTTCTGAAGGACTGAGACAGAAAGAAGAGAAATAAGGAGCTCTAGGGAGAAGTGCTCAAAATTGTCTCAAACTACATCAGATTGTTCTTTTCATCACAATAAGATACGGGAAGGAAAATGAGTTCATTCATATGTGGGATTACGAGAGAGAATGGGTAATGGGAGAAATTGCTAAATTTTTAAGATTGTCCATTTTCTGTTCTGAGGCTGAAATTGATGATTCAATCAGGTTTTATATTGATTTATGAATGCAGTTGTTATATTGTTTGGTAAATTTGATGATCTAAATGATAATTGAATTCATTGGGATGTGCTCTGTAACTTAGAGTTCTTGTAGAGTGATGAGCACCCTTAATTATATGAATTAATAAGTAATTGGGAGATTTTACTTATGGATGTACTTTAGTATTTTTGTAATATCATTTTGTTTCATTAACCAAATCAATTTCAGTTTGTTGGGTTAGAAAATAGACACTTTGGGCTATAATTTAGACTCTAGAATCATGTAAAAATGTTATGAATTGATCAAGGTATGCGAGTTATAAGTTCAGTCTCCATTCCGGTGCGTGAAATATTAAGTTTTATGTTGTCAGCCATGAGAGGTGACCTTAACGACATTTTTAGGCTTTGTGTTCTTCACGAAAATTGTAGCCTTGGATGTTATCTTTCCAATGATATTGGAATCACTAAAAAAGAATGTGTATAACTCAAGTTATGGTCAAAATAGTGAGTAGAGATCAAGCTGTCAAGATTTATGGTGTCCGATGCGGTGTTTTGTTTGAGTTTGCATTTTTGACATTTTGGGACCCCTTTTTGGCATGTTAGTGATACTGTATGATTTCTTAGTGATGCCTTATAATACTTATGATATGATTGGATGAGTTTGATGTGGGATTGTGATATATGGTACTATACTGATGAATTTTGATGATGATAATGAATTGTATGATGTATAGTAATGATTATTATATGAATAAGTATAAATGGTGTGTATCTGGATGAGTTGATGTGCAAAATGTAATTGACAGTTGCAAGATGCGACTCTATATTTAATTGTGCATTGGCATGGATAGAAATTATGAATGGATGAGATAACATAACATAAGCATTGGTGCATGTTGCATACACATTTACCTTGGCCATAAGTGGTGATTAACAGGGGGTGCATTTTTATATACTGGCCATAAGTGGTGATTAACAGTGTGACATTGGTCATAAGTGATATAAACGGTGTGGCCATGCGTGACGGTGCCTGAGGAAATTGATGAAGTTCGCCTATTGTGCGACGTTCTGAGTTAATGTTTCTTAGGAGGTTGCATTGACGTGAGCATGAGCATGATGCATGGGCTGTATGATGATGTGATAATGGCGATATTAGATGTATAAATGTAATGATAACGCTGTCGTGATTGGTTATTACTGTAAATTGTATGAGGATTGATTATATGTTTAGGTGAGATTTGTTTCTTGTGTCATATATATGAATAACCATTTTTCTCACCCGTATTTGTTGTGGTGTATTTTAGGTAATGGTGTAAGTGACAAGGTTGACACTTAAGGTACCAAGAACTGAAGCGATGGATTTGCTTTGATAATGTGACAACGGGGCAATGAGATTAGAATAGGATTTTACCTTTCATATTGATTACTATTTTTTTTTTGTTTAAACACTTTTGAAAACTTTATGTTTTATAACTATTTTATTTGATTGGGTGTTCAGAGATGGGTTATATGTGAACCTATTTTACCCAAGTTGTTAAGAATTTATTCCTTATTTAATTGCATTGTTTGTTAGGCTAGAATGGGTGTCACAATTAGTTTCTTTAAAACTTAATAATGAGCATGGAGAGGATGAAGGTTTAGGTTTGAATGTAGGCAACTTGGATTTGGATGAAAACATGATTCCAATCCAAGTTGGACAGCATGAGACTACACCATTGCCTATAGATGATTTGGACATTATTGATTTGAATGGTGAAGGAGACGGAATTGGAAACGAGTTGATGATCTCAAGCTATTATGATTTTAACTTGTAAGAAGAGACAAGATACAAAATAAATACATATGAAAGGAAATTGAATTGACAACTATTGTAAAAAAGATGACATATTTCAACCCCATAGAACTGGGTTGAGGGAGACCAAGAAGACACTAAAGGAAAATTTTTAAAGAGGATCTCATGATAATAAACAAAATCCTTGAGAACTTAGTTTTAACCGAATACAATGGATCGTGATCCTTGTATTTGACCTCACCTAGTAGGATAAGACCATTGATATTGTATGATTGACAATAGTAGTTGCAACCTTATATATTGCTCGTGTATACTTTTCAATCACATTGCTAATCAATTTTCTATCACCTTTCTGGTATACAACATATAGATGATAATCAAATCTACAAGGGGAACCATCTTGAAAAGGAGGGTTAGTTATAAAGAGCTCAGAGCACAACTCAAGTAATATAGATTTCCAACTTACTTCATGCCATCACACCACACAAAGCAAACAAGGTTCAAATAAGTTATGAAATAGAGATAGGAAAAATCAAAAAAGAAAGAGCATTGATTTTTTTTACCGCATGCATGAACCTTTTACAAATTTGCCTTCAGGTGAAGGAAATATGCTTCTTTTCCCATTCCGCCTCCATATGCATAAATGACTACCAATTAGACCAACAATCTGAAAATAAATAGAGATTTCAGAAACCATAAAGCATACAAAGAAAATGCTAGCAACATTTTATAGGCAACAACTCCAAAGCATAAAAAACTTAAGCAAGTCAACAACTTTAAGCAACTTAAATTGATCATGTTGAAAATCAAAATATAATATTATGTCATAATAGCAGATCATAGGCTAAGAAATTATCATAATATAATATTCTATATTAATGGTAGTTTATAGGCACATAGTATCAGATTTAGAGGAAACAAAATATCCTCTATTTATGTACAATTAATGAAATAAGCCTATATAAACCTGCATCCGTTGTGTATTTAGACAGTTTTTCCCAAATATGTCTTTGGTTTTTCCTCTTTAACATGTATCCAGAGCCTGTTTCCAGTGATAAATGTTTTTGCAAACCGTTTTCATCTTTGATTGCCACACCCTGTCTGACACCTTTTCCAGCATCTTTCCGGCCACAGCCACCACAGAACGACTCACCATTTGCCAGTCTACCCTGATACATCCTAGTTTGCCAAAGCTTCAGAAGTTAGTCCCCAGCCTCTCCAAATTGTCTACTCTACATTGTGAGTCGTGGCAGTTAAGGAAAGATAGCCGTAATTTATTTCCTAATTGAGTCAATAAAAGAGCTATGTCCCCATTTGCCTTGGTTCACTCAAATGTTTGGGGTCCTTCTCAAATTGTTACCCAGTCTAGTTTTAAATATTTTGTCACATTCATTGATAATTTTTCGCGCTGTACGTGGCTATGTTTAATGAAAAGTAGGTCTGAATTGATTTCTATGTTAGAGAAATTCTACAATGAAATAAAAACCCAGTTTGGCACCCCCATGGGTTCTCTTTGTAGTGATAATGAACGCGAATATTTATCTCATACGTTACAATAATTTATGGTGTCAAACGACATTCTTCATCAAACATCTTGTGGGTGCAAAAATAGGCATCTTCTTGAAACCACTAAGACTCTTCTCCCCCACAGTAACGTTCCCCTACATTTTTAAGGTGATGCTATTCTCACCACTTGCTACCTTATCAATCGCATGTGGTAACACTGCATGCTTAATTGCTTTATTGTTTAATTATGTGCTATGTGCTGTTTTAATTGTTGTTATGTTGTAAGTATAATTATTTTAAAACTGGTTAAGGGATCCTTCGGGGTTAAATTGTTTTCGGGTTGTGTTAAGTTGAGGTCAAGTTGACCAAGATTAGGGAAAGGTATTTAAGGTTTTCTTAAGACTTGAACTTCATAAGTTCATATCTTGAGAAAATCTAAAGAGAAGTTAGCGAGATAGACTTTGGAGCCAAGAGAAACCATTTCTTCTTCTAACTCTATAGAAGCCTCTAAATCCTTATGTGTAGCAAAGTTGGGGTGTCCGACTGAAGATTCAAAGCTTGTGAGTTAAGAATTAAGATTGAGGTTGTCATACAACGAACTCCTGGGAAGCTCTTGTTCTTCGTCATTCTTCCTTCTCTTTCTCATTTATGAGTAATTTAAGGTAAGGGAAGTTTGTTGTTTGATCTTCTAAGTTGTGAAATGTTGATTTTCTATGTTGATTCATGCTTTCGTAAGTATTTAAGTTGAAATTGAAGGTGGAACCCTAGTGTTCCTTGTTCTTGGTGAGGAATGAAGGGATTGGTGATTCTTGCTATGTATTATGCTTTCTTACTTGGCTCGCTTACGCGAGCTGAGGACCTCTCCTAGGGGTGCTCTTTGTTTGAGCTCACTCAGAGTGAAATCCATTCACTCAGAGCTATTTCTGCCCCGTGTCTACGGCTCCACCTACTTTCTTCATAATCTAACTCCAAGCCATGACAAACTCTCAGCACGGTCCATCAAATGTGTCTTCCTCGGTTATCATTGTTCACAGAAAGGTCATTGTTATTTCTTTGCTACCCATCCACGATATTTTATTTCACCAAAAGTCTCTTTTTTTGAGCTTGCTCCCTGTCCTCCTAGCTCACCTGCCCTTTTCCCTCTTCCATCCATGACTTAGGATGCCCCCGTGGTAACTCAAGATGCCCTAACAATGGAGCCTAGGTCGTTGTCAACGACTAGCTAACATTCATGCACCATCCTTTACGACAACTTGTGAAGATATAGTAGAGGCCATACCATACTCTTCACTAACACCATCCTTTTTACCGAAGCCAAACTTGCCCCTTGACATCGATTGGCCAGTCGCTTTGTGAAAAGGCATTCATTCCACTTGCAACCCATCTCAACACTATGTTAACCTTAGATATAGGTCTTTCTTCTTTGCATTATACTTGCATGTCTTCTTTGTCTTTTGTGCCTATCCTTGAGTCTATAAGGGAAGCATTATCTCACCCAAATTGGAGACAAGCAATGACAAGATGTGTGCACTTCAGAGCAGTGGAACTTGGAATTTGGTTCCTCTTCCTCTTGGAAAATCTCTTGTTGGGGTGTCGATGGCTTTACAAACTTAAAGTTGGCCCTAATGAGACTATAGATCGCCTCAAGGCCCACCTAGTGGTGAAAAGTTATACCCAGGTGTATCTGCTAGACTACATTGATACTTTCTCCCCGATGACCAAAATGACTTATGATTATTATTCTACATGGCTGCCATTTGGCACTGACCTCTCTTCCAACTTGATATTAAAAATGCTTTCCTACATGGGGATCTTGATGAAGAAGTCTACATGGAGCAACCACTAGGTTTTGTTGCTCAAGGGGAGTACTCTACTATGGTCTATCGACTTAACAATTCCCTATATGGACTTCAACAATCCCCTCGAGCTTGGTTTGGTCAATTTCGTACTATTGTGCAACAATTTGGTATGCTTCACAATGAAGTCAACCACTTTGTCTTATATGTTGTCCATGGAAATTGTCACCGAATTCATCAACTCTAGTGATCAAATTGTAGATATCATGAATAAATCCTAGAGGGGACCTCGAATTTAGTTTTTGTGTTCTATGCTTGGTGGATACAATTTATATGCTCCATAACATTAAAAAATGTCCTTCATGTCCCTAAACTATCCACCAATTTGATTTCTACACAAAAACTCAAACAAGATCTCTCATGCAACGTTGTTTTTCATAGCAACTCTTGTATATAGCAGGACAAGAACTTGAGGAGGACGATTGAACATGCTAGAGAATGGAATGGCTTGTACTACATGGAGGACTCTAATCTGCCTACCAAGAGCCAATCCCTCATATTTGAATCCATCATGACCAATAAAGAGAAAGCTCAACTATACCATTGTCAACTGGGACACCCTTCATTTTGAGTTGTAAAAGTGATTTTCCCTTCCTTTTTAAGAATTTAAATGTGGAGTCTCCATTGTGAGGTGTGTGAGCTTGCTAAACACAAGTGTGTACCTTTCCTCATTAACAATAAGATGAGTCCTTCACCTTTTTTCCTTGTTCATACCGATGTATAGGGTCCCGCTAATGTCCCTAATATCTCAAGTGCTAGATGGTTTTTAACTTTCATAGATGATTGCACCCAAGTGACTTGGGTTTTCCTATTGAAACAAAAATCTGAGGTTAGCTTCGTTTGTTTTCAATTTGTCTCAATGATTAAGAATCAATTTGGATTTAGTATCAAGATAATTACGTCTGATAATGCCAAGGACTATTTTAACCTTGTGCTCAACTCTTTTTTCCACAAGGAAGGGATAATTCATGATTCTTCATGTGTGAACACCCCAACAGAATGGGATTGCAAAAAGGAAAAATAGACACTTATTAGACCAAACTAGGGCCCCACTTTTTCAAAATCATGTTCCTAAGAAATTTTGGGGGGAAGCCCTTCTTACTTCCACCTACCTAATCAATAGGTTACCCTCTAAAATCTTAGAATCAAAAAGGCCCATGGAAGTCCTATCCTCATTCTACCCACACCTGGGTCCTACCAATAAACTCCAACCTAGAATATTAGGTGTGTATCCTTTGTACATGTTCATAGTAATGAAAGGGGAAAATTGGATCCTAGGGTTGTCAAATGTATATTCTTAGGGTACTCAATCACACAAAAGGGATACAAATGTTTTCACCCCCCATCAAAAAGATTCTGTGTGTCAAGGAATGTCACCTTCAACGAACAGGAGAGCTACTTCAAGCAACCTCATCTTCACGGGGAAATATAAGAGAGGAAGATGAGCCTCTCATGCTTCCAAATATGGCATTTGGACCTGAAAGTGGGACAAATAGCGTAGCTGTCCCTAAAACTGAGAGAAGAACAGAACAAGCACCTGAACCTGCACCTAATGGTGGTAAATTTGGGAAAAATCTGGTATATTCAAAGAGAGAAAAGGCCATTCCAGAATTTTCCCAAGTCCAAGAATCCAACCCACCATCATTACATGAGGTAACACTTTCTTATCCTATAAATTCAAATAATTGTAATGAGTTTGTTTCTGAAAATTTAGAAGCACAAGTGGACCAAAACTTGGATCTTCCCATTTCCCTTTGAAAGGGAACCAGAACATGCACCCAACTACCACTTTACCCTCTATCAAACTTCCTATTCTTTGAAAAATTATCTCCTACTCATAAAACCTTTCTCACAAACCTAAACTCCACACCTACACATTCCTCTGTATCTAAAGCATTATCTAATAGGAAATGGAAACAAGCCATGAATGTGGAAATGGAAGCGTTAAACTAGAACAGGACCTGGAAACTTGTCACCTTACCAATTGGAAAAAACACAATAGGGTGCAAGTGGGTATATACCGTAAAGTATCAGACTAATGGGACCATTGAACGTTACAAGGCAAGGTTAGTGGTCAAAGGATTCACTCAAACTTATGGAGTGGATTACTTGGAGACATTTTCCCTGATTGCTAAAATGAACACGATCAGAGTAATATTGTTATTAGCAGCAAATCATGATTCGGACCTACAACAGTTCGATGTGAAGAATGCATTCCTACATGGAGACCTTGAAGAAGAAATATACATGGTGTTGCCCCCTAGTTATGATGGATAGGTTGCTACTGGAACTGTTTGCAAACTAAAAAAAGCTCTATATGGGCTGAAACAATCCCTAAGAGCATGGTTTGGAAGATTCACAAAGTTATGACAAGTCTAGGTTACAAACAAAGCCAAGGGGATCACACTTTATTTATCAAACATTCAGTTTCAAGGGGAGTAACAATATTATTGGTGTATGTAGATGATATTATAGTAATTGGGGATGACAAAAAGGAGCAACAAGTGTTAAGTCAATGCCTTGCCATGGAATTAGAGATCAAGACATTAGGGAGACTTAAATATTTTTTGGGAATTGAAGTGGCCCATTCCAAGAAAGGAATCTTTATATCTCAACAAAAACATGTTACTGACTTGCTTAAAGAAACAGGCAAGACATCTTGCAAACCAACAAGTACTCCAGTTGATCCAAATATAAAGTTGGGAAGTGCAGATGAGGATATGCTCGTGGACAAGGAAATTTATCAAAGACTCGTAGGTAGCCTTATTTACTTATCTCACACTAGGCCAGACATTGCTTTTGTTGTGAGTCTAGTCAGCCAGTTTATGCATCGACCAAAGGAAGCACATTTACAAGCTGCCTTTAGAATTGTCCAGTATTTAAAAGGGACTCCAAGAAGAGGGATTCTGTTCAAATGGAACAAGAGTGTAAGTCTTGAAGCATATATGAATGCAGATTATGCAGGGTCAATTGTAGATAGGAGATCAACTATTGGATACTACACCTTCCTTGGTGGAAACCTAGTAACTTGGAAAGGCAAAAAACAAAGTGTAGTAACTAGATCGAGTGCTAAAATAGAATTTCGAGCAATGGCCCTAGGAATATGTGAACTTCTATGGCTAGAGATTATATTGGAAGACCTGAAGATAAGGTGGGATGAACCTATGAGGTTATATTGTGACAATAAATCCGCAATTATTATAGCCCACAACCCGGTGCAGTATGATAGAACTAAACATATCGAGGTCGACAGACATTTCATCAAGGAAAAGCTAGACTATGGCATGATTTGTCAAAACCATGTTGCCCATTGTGTATTTTAGGAAGTTTTATACTTTATCCTTGTTGTAATTTTATTCTTTATCACAGTCGTATCTTGCTATTAATACTAGGTTTATGTATTTAGAAACAATCCCATAATCATAGGGATTTGTCTCCCTAGAATTAGTTGTCCATATTTCTTGAATTTTCTGCAAGCTCATGTATATATAGGTCCATTGACCTCATAATTCAATAATAAGAAAAGAAAGATATTCTTCCTTCTAAATTTTAGAGTTTTTGTATAACTTAGATCAACTTATCACAAACCCTTAAACAATGTTTAGAACTATAGTAATGAAAGGAAAACAAATCTGAGAAGTTTGAGAGCACTTAGTCTCCCAAATCAAGAGTTCAACCTAATTTCCACCTATCTTCCTTCATCTCAGGTTGCTCCTTACAATTCATCACATGTGTTATGAAACACTCCATATGAAGTTAGTAGCCTATTGTTCCACCCTAGGTGCTTCTCACCTATTCTTCCTTCTCCTTTACATTATCTTAGTCACGAGCTTCCTATGGTGGGTCATATCATACTAATGGTACTTCATTGAAGTCTTATATATGATAACTAATAAAATATGAGTTTAAATTTGATAGTAAGGCATTTCGCTCCCAATAAAAGCTTTGAACAATATTTTAAACAGGTGGCATCATGTGATAGACTGATTGATACAATGAAATTTCTTATATATTCACTGGAAAATTAAATCCATAAAGCAATCATTCAATTACTTCACCTTGCTATCGTCAAAATCAAAGTCAATTAAAGAGAACATATCTGGCACTGAGTGTTCTTCTATGCATTTGTAGCTGTCTAATGACCAGAAACGAATAACCTATCATAACGCCATGGAAATAGTAAGTACAACAAGGTCTAACCAAGTTAAAAAATAAAACTGAGTAACAAAAGGCAGATAATATGGCATGAATCTATATTGCTTTCACTGACAAAATTCATATTAGAAACAGGATAAAAATCCATATTAGAAATTTGAAGAATCTACTGAATTACTGATAAAATTCTCCAGCCACAAAGAAGACATAATAGAAACAAGAACTTCAAGGAAAGGGTTTAAATCCTTAGCAGAGAAATTTTGCGCCATGAAACATTTGTGTTGTTTTCTTTCCAACCAAAATCACTGCAAGATCCCAAACAAAATCTCTTTGGGTTTTAGTCTTTAAATTCTTTTTTAGACCAATAAACCTCCCCCTCCCCTGCCCCAAACTAACAAAATAAAAAATAAAATAACAGAACAAGGTGTTCAAAGTGTTATCATCCAACTTCCATAAGCAGAAGTGCAGAAGCCAGAGTGTAATATGTATGCCAAATGATATTCAATGATAAAAACAAATGTATACAAAACGATAAATACTCATGATTTTTAAACAACCATCTTTCTCCAGCACCTCTAATAATGAGATTAATCCCACACGCCATGATTGATAACCATAAATAAATGACAAATCTACCCATAATCTAAATTAATTTGACCTGCAAACCATAAAAACTACATTCCAACTTGAGACATTTCCTCATTAATCACTTATTCTTTATAAACATCCACCAATAACAGATCAGGAATCATTAGACCAAGAGCCATATAAAACACTATATGTATGTAAATACCGACCACATTAGAATTTGGACTTAGAACCTAACTCAATCCTATAAAATTGGCTTGTAATGTGAAAATTGTCCAAGCCTTATATGACTATTTAATGTCATATCTCTAGTCAATGTGGAATTTCAACCTGCTAAGAGCTAACGTCTCGATGGCTCCACGCTATGACGCTTCACTCAGCCTTTTTGTTAGCCCCTTTGTAGGTAGCCCTTTTTGAGACATTACGGCTTAGGGGTGACCAGCTGACTGCAACTAAGGCAGATTTCCAACAAAACCAAGAAAAGATTTTAGGCACCAAATTCCCAAGAGGGACTCAAACCTTAACCACGAAAAATCCCTGATGATCTTCCCAATTTGATCAATGACTCAGATAATAATCATAAAGAGGGAAAGATAGCACATTTGAATACAAGAAAAACAAGCCTAAGCCGAAGTGATACCATCTGTGAATAAGATGCTTCCTTCTAGCAACCTAACCTTCCATCAGATTATTCTAAACCATTTGCCAATATGATATTGTAATACTGTCCAACAAAGCTTCAAATTATAAGTAGCCAAAGTCTTCACTCCTGTCCTACAATATATTTTTATAATTTTAACTATGAAGAGTGACATCTCCAAAACACATCATGTAGAAACAATTGCAATAGTAAAAATAAATTCAAAGCCAATCATATATTTTCTTTAGTGGTAGTTAACAAAAACAAAATTGATACTTCAGAAATTATCAGATAATGTCATAATGATGTCAAATTAAAGAATAATTGCAAGTTGTTTGCTCTATAACGTTGTCCATTTGTTGCTACCTACAAAATACAGGTTCCTCAATCAAATGTAAGATCTTCAGATATTGTTTTGCAAAGAAGTGGACATGTATATTGACGTAATGCTATTCATGTTTCATAACAACCAATGACAAGCTTACTAACTGTAATTGTACAAGATATGCAAGTCATACGGGAAGAGAAACCGAGAGGTGAGACACTAAAACAGTTATAATCCACTGTATAACAACTCAAGAATTTGATTTTAAAATAGATAATATAACATTAGTCATGCAACACAAAAAACAGTTATAATCCACCAATGATTTAATAGACAAAATAACAACTTGTGTATGCCACTAACATAGGAAAAGAAACTTTTAAGGATCGGAAATTAGAAATAGTGATAAAATATTGTCCATACCTTATCACCTACGCCAGTAACAAGCATGCCCATTTTCATTCGGCACTGAGCAACCCTAATTGAAAAGCAAGTATTGAACATCAATATACTCCATGCATGTTGATTTGATGAACACTTATAACACACACACACAACAGGGCATGCAACAAAACACAGATTATGGATTCATCAATAGTATGTGCATGTCCAACACATTCTTCATAGTTCATATATAATCCATTAAGTTATATTTATGAGAGGCAGTGATGGTTGCAGCAGAGATGTACTGAGAGCATGGGACTAATGCTACAGCAGTGTAAGAAAAAATGCTTGGAGTATGGCCATGTACTTACTGGTAAACTCCGAGCAATCATGCCAAGTATTCTCAACATTAACATTAGCTTCAATAAAATTTAAAAAATGCTTCGAGTTTGACATTTTGAAAAACATGAAATAGCAGTCAACTGAGCACTAAAGTTCTACATAAGGATTCCTAAATGAAAGGTAAACACATCTATGGCTACAAACTAGAGTCTGATTTGGACCATACACAGTTCCGCACTAATAAACCATCAATTCCCATAAAAAATAAAAATCAACAGCATTCATATAAGCCACAAAGGGTTTAGCAGTCCCATTTACTATCAACAGAAAAAGCACCATTTTACTGAGTAATGCTCCCTCCCAAATGAATAGAGAACAAATACTGAACCAATGCTACAAAATCTATGTCAATAACAGATACACAACTTCTCATAATGTTAAAACGCCGCACATCAAAATGTCTACTTTTCTTATTTATGTGAACAATGTGTAAATGTAAGTTTGTACAACTAAGCAAAGTAGCATTCACACTGAATCAATTACTAATACCCTGTTTGAATAGAAGCTTAAAATCGCTTTTAAAAGTTTCTCTGCTAAAATAAAGAGTTATTTTCGGTAGCAAAGCTCTAAAGCCCTTTCTAGCTTGTACCCAATCAAAAGTGATTGAAAGCATTACTAAAGGGAAGAATAGTTACCTGGTTGAATGACCCTTCCACTGATCAACGTAAAAGCCACCACACTGAAGAGCCAATTTATGCTGCTCCAAAGCCACTTCCCGTAAAATCGCCCTCAAGGGCATTTTGGTAAATTCAGACGAACCCGCGTCGAAGATAGAAGAATTCTTCATCTTCCTCTCGTAAAACTCTCGCAGCGAGCGGGACTCAACGATGGCATTCCTTCACGAACACGCACGTGCGCGTTTCAGAAAGGCACGTGACGATTGACGATGGATTGCATAAGAAAAAGAGAAAGTGGAAGAAAGTGAGGAGTACCAGTGTTTGCAAACGAGGGAGCACCGAACGAGGTCGAACATGTCGAGGAAAGCGAAGATGATGCCCACGATGTCGGAGTCGAGGGACAGCACGGTGGTCGGAGTTTCCCGCCCTTTATTTATTTGGCCAACGGTCGCCGGAGAAGGACCCTTCTTCGCCGGAGCCGCCGTGAAACTCCGTTGCCTTTTGCTCATTGTTTAGAGTTACGGTTGTGTGTTGTTCGACTTCAACCAAGCAAAGAGTAATGAAGCGAACTAGTGGTAGAGCCACGAGCAATAACTACATTAATAATTTGAAAATTTTAAATATATTTATAATTACATATATATTAAATAAATTATTTAAATATTTAATAAATTTTAATTATTGTATTATCTATAAATGTTATTATAAGAATTCTTCATTCACTATAGTTTAATGTTTTTTTTATACAAAAATGTTTTTCAATATATCATTGATATGTGTTAAAAAAAATATATTACAATTGAAAATTCCTTCTCATTCACAAAAAATCAATTTATATTAACTTTCTAAAAAAAAAATTTGAAATATTTGATAAAAAGGTAAAAAATAATATTACAATTGAAAATTTTCTTTCATCTACTTAATTTATTATTTATTATCCCTTTTTAAAAAATTTCAATATATTAATTAAATAGTGTCAAAAATAAATATTACAACTAATATCATAAATACAAGTGTCTAATATCATAAATACAAGTTGAAATACATTCAAAAAATAGTTGATAGTATAAAATTTAGATGCCTTGTATAAAGAATAAATCATTTGATTTAGTTGTTTCTTGACGTAATTCATCATTGAGTTTAAAATAAAATTTAAAAAGATTACTATATTTGGTCAAAATAAAATGGAAATTAGAACTTCACTCATTTTCATTATAATCTATGTGTTGGGGTAGTCAGGGTATCACATTTAGTAGTATTAGAGCAGGTCGATTCAATCGGCCGTGAGTTATGTTCTTATCATGATTCTGTTGTGTACTCTGATAGTGTTTTATTTGTTGTGTACTTTGATGATGCTTTGCTTTGATAATGATGATGATGATGTTCTCCTTGTGTTGATATTGTTGAGTTTAATACTGTTATATTATATTGTAATTAGATTAATGATATATAGTGTTAGCTAATATCATTATTACTTCTCTTCTTCATTCTTATGAGTGCTTAATTGTTTGATACTTCTTGTTTACGTAAGAAGTAGTGGATGAGTGATATCATTTGTGTTGCAAGCATATGTGCAAGTAGTAGTAGACAAGATATTGTGTTAATCAACTAGAAACTATTAGAATCTTGGATGTGGGTGAGACATTGATTCGTCAAGTGTATTGAGAGTTTATGGTTGATGGAGCTTCTGAAATCTATAGTTGTAGCGATTGAATCCAAGGAGGTTGTATGTTGAGAATTGAAGTTTTGGTATTCTTGATGAGAGATTGGAACGTTGGTAATTTCCTTGAGTGTTGGTGTTTGCATGTTAACCTTTTATGGTTTAGGTAGCATGTGAGTTTTATTTTTCTAAGTCCTTTGTACTGAATATGTGAATTGTTTTGGTTTAGGATTGTAGTGGGAAGCTTGGATATGAGTTTAAGGTGGAAAGGAGTGAGTTTGGAATGGTTGAGGTATTTTGTGGGATGTTAGTACACTATTGTTGTATGGTGTAGGGGATATTTTCGCTGCAGTTTTGTTGTGCCAGTATAAGTATCTTATTGATAGAGTTAGATTTTGTGATCTTCATGAAAGTTGTAGCCTTAGATGTTATCTTTCCAATGGAACTAGAATCAGGTAAAACGGAGGTCTAGATCTTCAATTATAGTTGCTTTAATGATCAGAGGTCTAGCTGTAAGCGCTGAATATATCTATTGTGGCTTGAGATCATTTAGATGAGTATAACTCTCTAGGTATCATTTTCTTTTAAAGTTGTTGAAGGGATATGTACGGTGTCATGATGTTTTGAGTTGTTAGGCAACGCAAGGATAAAAACTGATTTGGTTATGATGTTCTGAGGCATTGTCATATGGATTGAAAGGTTTTTTCTGGTTGTATGATGCTATGCGGTAAAATTGGTTCATGTACATGCTATATGGAGTAAATGGTGATTGATTCGTAAATTCTTAGGGATGGTATATATCGAATGTTTAAAGTAGGAATTCTAATATGATTTGATATGTGTATATATTGATATGAGGAAGGGGCCTAGAGAGTGAGTATTTCGTGTTTTGGTGGTTTGCTAGGGCTCGTGTAATTTCCTTTTGTTGATGTGTTTCCGTTTTTGTCTGCAGGCATTATGGGGAAGAACTTGTGGCGCGAGCTTAAGCACCGCTACAACGTTACTGAGCTCGAGGTTCCCGAGCCTCCGGAGGAGGAAGTTGCCCCCCTGAAGGTTAGCCGGAAGAGAAAGAGGGGGGAAAAAGAGGTCGGGGGAACCTCCGCCCCTCCAGGTGCCGAGGAGGTGACCTCCAAGGCCGTTGATGCTGATGTGGTGGATCTCACTGAGAGTCCACCGTCTAAAGAGGCTCCCCTAGTGGGGGCTGGGGAGGCGGCCCAGGCTGCTGAGCCTACCACGCAGGTCGCCGATGTGAGTGTCGTACTTCCTTATACGTTTCTTCTGTGTTAGACTTTGCTTGGTTTATTGTGGTGATATGGGTTTTCTTGTAGGCGGGGGTGGTCGTCACTGAGGTAGGAGTACGGGCGGTTGAGCAAGTTGCTCGAGTTGCCGAGGTGGTGAGTATTGTTTCTTCGGCTTTTCGTTGCCTTTTATTATGCTTTCTTGTCTTTTGACCTGGGAAGCCAAGCTCCAAGCTCGGCATCACAGTGCAAGATGATCTCGGGCACGCGTCATACGACGTCAGCTCGACATCCAGGTGAATCACAACTGATTCCCGAGGATCTCACCCATACGAGATCCATTATCCAATCACTGATCACCGAAGATCTCGCCCCAGACGAGATCCGCTATCATATCTTATCTCAGGCCCAGAGCCCAAAGCAAACCTAATTCACTCCAAGGTACGTGCATTACATATACGAGACTATTACTCATACAAACCCTAACTTTAGCATCGGAGTCTCTTTTGCAGGTACCACCCCCATCTTGGAGCATCAAGCGTACCAGCAAAGGAGGCTCACCGATCTTACCTGGCGGATCAGCTCTACAGCAGATTTCCGGTAAGAACACATATAATCTTGCAAGTCTTGAATAGAAAATGGAAAGAAAACACAAGAAGAATACAAGAAGAACAAATAAATGGTGCAAAACATCAATCACCAAGATGTCACCTTCATTAATAGACACTCGAATAATCATCCCTTCCACACTACAAATCAATGGACAAACACTCACCATCAATCCCTAGTCAACGACCCATATTTCATGACATACCAAAGCATTAATGGGTCATTAATGCGCAGGGGAAACCATCAACAAAAGAGTGCCCAATCAAAACAAAACAAACATATAACTCCTTTGCCCTTACGAGCTCGGAGCTCAAGAGGCTTATGGACTGCTTGGCTTAACCAAACCAAACTGACCTCATTCCTAACTCAAACATGTCCATTAGCTTGGAATGACCTCACTTATAACTCCTTTGCCTTTACGAGCTCGGAGCTTGAAGGCTTATGTAACGCCCAACTCAACCGTGCCAAGCTAGCTTTCTCCTACTCACTCATACCAAACTTCCAGCCCATCATCATAAAGTGAAACCCTAGGCAATTAGCTCCTATCGACTAGTGAGATAACTTGGTATGAATATCTCCTAGAATATCATAATCAAACACATTATATTCACCTAATGGAATATTTTCACTTATGAGGAATAATATCTCCATACAATCACCAGAATATATATATATATATATATATAAAAGATACCATATAACATTATCTCTAAAAATAAGAGATAAGTGGGACATCATGTATCATTCTATTCTAATCTCATTCTTAACCTAAACTCCCTTCTAACTTGAGTGTTAGAATGTCTCTGTAGGTGTCCTACTGCCTTCAATATTGAAGAACCAAGAACATGATCCCAACCATAGTTGCACTTGGAGATTTCGGTAAGAATAAATTCTTTTAATTATAATATTAACAAGTATATATTTAATGAATGTTATGTTAATATATCATTTTAAAAATAAAATTATATTTTCAATTAATTAAAAATATTAAATATAATTCTAAAATAACTATAATAAAAGTATAGTTAGATAATAATATAAAAAAAAACATTTACGTCACTGATGTATTTTTGTTAAATTCATATTAACTATATTCAGTAAAATAATATTTGAAAAATAGTTATTAATAGAATAAAACTAAAATACAGTATATCACCTCTAAATAATTTTTATTTTATTTTTGATAAATAAAAGCTTAGATTAAAGTAAAATACAATCTCATGTAAGATTGAAGTCAATCATCAATTTTTTTTTAAGATTTTCGGTGAGATTAGAGATTGTCTATCCTATTTTCAACATAAGACTATATAAAAGTATATAAAAGGATATAAAACATAAAAAAATTAAATTTGATCACATAATGAAACGATTTAACCTCTGGTCAAATTTATTTTATTTTTAATAAAATTTAAAAATGTTTTTAATATTGTATAATAACTATTTAGAGGTCAAGGTGTTAAAAAGAACAATAAAAATATTTAATTCATACGTTAAATAAAATTAACATTTTTTTTTTGGGGGAAGTGGCGCAAGTCAAGTGTCCGAATCTGAAATGGCAATAAATAATAAAAATTAGGAAGACGTGTTTGGTTTGACCCCCCCGCCTATGGACACCAACCTCAAGTCAAAAATGACGAAAATAGAAACAAGAATAAGAAAAGAAAAATACTCACCGCGGCAACCCGCCCAATAGCCCGAGCCAGCACCTCGCCGGGTTGAACGACTGGCTCAACAGCCGGCGCCACCTCTTCGGCAGCCACACGATTGACCCCCTCCGACCGCGGACTCCCTGCAAGGTCCACCACCCCAGCTTCTACAACCTGGGAAGCAACCTCCCCTGTCTCATGAGGGGCAGAGGTCCCCCCGATCTCTCCCCCACCCCTCTTTTGCTTTCGGTTGACTTTCAAAGGGGAAACCTCCTCCTCTAGAGGCTCGGAAATCCCGAGCTCAGTCACGTCGAAGCTGGGCTTCAGCTTGAGCCACAAGTCTTTTCCTATAAGGCCTACAGACAGAAAATAAGGCACGTTAGCAAAGAAAGCATAATGAAAGGCAACGAAAAGCTGAAGAA